TCCCCTCAGCCTCTGGCAGCCACCGTCCTACCTTCCGCCGTGTGAATGTAACCACTCCAAGGACAACTGTGGAATATAAAAGAATCATGCCCTGATTCGTCCTTTGTGTCTGACTTTCTCACTGAACAGTGTCCTCGAGGTTCTTCCGCGATGCATGGTTATCTGAGGCCTGTCGAACTCCCTTCCTTTCTGAGGCTGAACAATATTCCACCGTAGGTACAGACCTCACTGTATCTGCTCACCCATCCATGGACGTTTTGCTTCCACTTCTTGGCTATTGTGAATAGCACTGCTGTGAACATGTGTGTACAAATATTTGTTCGAGTCCCTGCTTTCCGTACTTTTGGGTGCATATCCAGAGTGGAATTGCTGGATCACAGGGTGATCGTATGTTTAATTTTTTATGGAACTGCTGTGCCGATTTCCACAGCAGCTGCACCATTTTACATTCCCACCACAATACACGGGGGTTCCAATTTCTCTGCCTCCTGGCCAACACTTGTTGCTTTCTGTTTTTTACTAAGACATTTTTTTATAATAGCCATTCTAATGGATGTGAAGTGTCTCATTGTGGTTGGTCCATTTTTTTAGTAAATAATTTCAGCCTTCCTTCTGAAGTCTTCAGTGTTTTCATGCTATCTCAGTCGTCTTTATGTATTTCTGTGAGATGAGGTTTACTTTCCCTTTGAGAGATGGAGAAAGGAGGCGCGGGAGCCTACCTTAGAAGGGCAGGGTCGTGGCCCCCTCTGTTCTGCGTGCAAAGCGGGCCCTGGCCGTGCCTGCTGGACAGGCCTGTGGGGAGTCCTCCTGGCCAGAGCGTGGGCTGTGGGACGGAGCAGAAAGTGACTTGGTTTGAGCCCTCACCTCCAAGTGGGTCCTTCAGGCCACGAGGACGGTCCAATACTTGCCGGCTCAGGGCAAACGCTGTTTGTGGCTGCTCCTAGTGTGGCTCCTAGTATTAGTTTTGGCTGTTTTCGCTGGGTGAGATGAAACAATACTCCATGAATTCTGGTTTCTCATGGCAGATTCATGGAATACAGTCTGAATCCTTCCCAGATTCTGAGGAGGAACTAAAAACAATCTTTTAAGATTTTGAGTGTAATTTAAGGGAAGCTATTTATAAATTGTCCCAGGGCAGATTCCATGTGGTGCACTAACAAGGGTGCCCCCTCCTGGACTGGCCAAGAACTGTTTTTGCCTCTGTTTTGGATTTAGCAATGCCAGGGCATATGAAAATAAAAATTTTAGTTAACTTACCATGATGCCTACTGATTCTAAGTGGTTTATGTTATTAGCTCTCCTAATCCTGATAACAACCTTATGAAGTAGTGACTATTATTATCTCCATTTTTCTTATGAGGAAATGGAGGCCCAGGGTGATTAAGTAACTTGTTCAATGTCACACAGCTGGTAAATGACCCTGGGATCTGCACGTAGGCAGCCTGCCTCCACACATTGGAGATCTGAAGAAAGGGCCAGATTCAGAGGCCTGTTTTAATAAGACGTTGCTCTTCGAAAACATTTTATAGTTTATAGTGTTTCTATATGTTTCATTTAATCTTTATAATAACTCAGTGGGGCAGACACCCATGTCATTCTTACTTTGACAGAGGTGGAAACTGAGGCCTGGAGACATCCAGAGGCTTTCTTAGGAAAGCAGCTGTGGGGTGTTGGCGAGGATGAGAGAAAAGGGAACCTTTGTGCGGTATGGAGGTTCCTCAAAAAATTAAAAATAAAACTACCATATGGTCCAGCAGTTTTCTGGGTATATATCCAAAGGAAATGAAAATAGGATATTGAAAAGATATCTGTAGTCTCATGTTCATTGGCATTACTCATAATAGCCAAGGCATGGAAACAACCTAAGTGTCCAACAGTGGATGAATAAAGATGTGGAACACACACACATGTGCACACACATGCACACACACGTGTGCACACAACCCCTGCAGTGTTACTCAGCCACGAGAAAGAAGGAAATCTTACCATTTGCGACAACATGGGTGGACCTTGAGGTTCTTATGCTAAGTGAGATAAATCAGACAGATTTATCTGTATGTTCTCATATGTATGTGGAGTCTAAAAAAACCACACTCATAGAAACAGAGTCAAATGGTGGTCCTGAGGGGCTGGAGGTGGTGGAGGAACTGGGGAGATGTTGGTCAGAAGGTGCCAACATGCAGTTAAAAGATGAATAAGTTTGGGAGATCCAGTGCACAGCATGGGATTATAGTGAACAAAACTGTATTATATACTAGAAAGTTGCTAAGAGACTGGATCTTAAATGTGCTCATCACAAAAGTGAAATGATAATGATGTGATGTGATGGAGGCATTAGCTAGTGCTAGGTGGCAACCATTAAATTATATAAATGTAGCAAACCAACACATGTACACCTTCAACTTACACAATGTTATATGTCAGTCATATCTCAAAAAAACCCAAAATGTAGAAAAAGAAAGTAGCCCAACTCCACATCAACCCCTTTCCCACACTCTGGGCTGGGTGGCAGGGCTGGCTGTGCCAAGGCCAAGACAGAGATCCTGCTCCCTGCTTGCAGCATCTCAGTGCCCTCGGGGCTGCTGCCTGGCATTTCCGAGCTGCCCCGGCTGCCCACACACAGCAGTTCGTTTTGGTCGGTGAACACAGATGCACAGAGGAGAGTTTGCAGAAGGCAGTGTGTGTGCGGGGAGCTTGGTGGGGCCAGAGACCAGGGGAGGAGCTCATAGCCCTATTGGGCTGGGGAAGAAAGTGGGGTGGGTGGGACACTTCTTAAGGACCAAGGGGTTGCCCTTTGTCCTGTGTGCAGTGGGAGCCACTGGAGGCTTTTGAGGAAAACGATGGTGGGATTAGCGCTGGGCTGTAGGAGGCTGGGCCTAGTCTCTGCCTGAGCAATGACTCAGGGCCTCCCCTGGCTGAGTTCCACACACTGTCTTCCCAGTCTGAGCATGACTTCCTTCTGCAACCTGTCTGTCTGTCCCTGAGTGCTGTTATCTCTTAGGGGCTGTAAACTCTCAAAGGCCACATGGTTCTGTGCTCAGTTTGCAGCCTGCTGACTGCAGAGTCCATAACGGGCCTGGGCCCTGCCTGAGCCTCTCACCACACGCATGGCGGGCATTGCGGCGTCCTGGGATCGGGAACTCACAAACACGCCGACTGGGCACCGAACTAGGTCTCCTCTCAGGGATGGCTTCCTCCCTCTTCTCCCTGGAAAGCTCCTCCTGACAGAGCCAGACCCAGTCAGGCGCTCCCTCCCCGGTGATGGCTTCCGGCGCCCTCGATGCATGTGGGCCCCACTGCTCCTGAAATCGGACAGCACTGGATCGACCCCTGTTCCATTGTGTTGGAGACACTTATTTGTCTCGCTTTCCCAGCTAGGCCAAGGGAGGCTCTTTGTTCTCTGTATCCAACACGGGCTCGGCCTGGTTCAATACTTAATTGGGCACAGTCACCCGAGATGTGTATCGCCTGCTGCCTGACACATATGTGTTCTAGACGCTAGACACAGCCATGAGCAGGCCACAGAAAATTCCCCACCGGCCCTCGCGGAGCTCACAGGCCACTGCAGCCTCGGCCTGCGGCCCCACTTGCATGCTTCCAGCTGAGGGACAGGCTTCCCGCTGCCTGCCCAGCTCCGGGATGTTATGTTTCAAGGAGGGGCTTTGGTGACTTGAGACTGGGAGTGTTTTCTTTCAGGACCAGGGCTGTTGACCTCGTACCCTCCAAATGGAGCACAGTTGTGACACGGGTAGGTCGTGGGTGCTTGCTGCACATGCACTGAACGGAGCTGGAGTAGAAATGTGAGGGTAGGTTTTCACCCCAGAGGGAAGGTGGCCGCGTGGGCCCGGGCTCACTGGTCATGAGCGATGAGAACACAGCCAGCTCCTAGAGTTCTCCACAGAAGGACTGGATTTTAGAGGAGGTAGGGGCCTGACAAGATGCAATCAGACTACAAAACAGTTGCTTTTAATTATAGACCTTGCCCCCAACAGGTTTTGTTGCCTCTCATGGCATTTTCCAGTTCACCTTTTGAGCTTTAGGAGCAGTGACACACAGATGGCTTTTCAAGGCCACTTGGCTGAGACAGGGCCCTGCCCCGAGGAGCAGAAAAGGCTGGAAGTCTGGGGAGAGGGGCATCTTGGAGGTTTGGAGTCTGTGGAGTGACAGAGCCAGCAAAGAATCCTCTCCCCCTCCTATAAAACACACTCACCTACCAGCTGTCAAGCCCACAGGAAACTAATGAGAAAGGCCNCCAGCACACTCACCTACCAGCTGTCAAGCCCACAGGAAACTAATGAGAAAGGCCCAGAACAGGAACACCAGTGTTTCTTTCCAACAACGCATCCTGGGAGCAGCAAGGATGGCCCCGGCCCTGCTCGGTCACTGACCCTGCGGGCAAGTCGCGGTCCCTCCTCGGGCCTCAGTTTCCTCGTGAGTCCTGGGACTCTGGGTGAGACCCGGTGGCTCCCGGCCCAGTGCTGGTTTGCTCAGTGTCTGGCCTGGCCATGGCTCTAGGGGAATACGCTCTTTGTCCGTTTCCAGTGCGTCGGTCCAAGGCCGCTGACGAGGAGAGGAGGCGCCGAGCCCAGCGCGCCCGGGATGAGTACCGGCGCCTTTCGCTCCTTGCCATCCAGAAGGGCACCGTCGCAGGCCTCAGCTTCATGTTCTCAGAGCTTGGCCAGAGCCATGAGCAGGAGGCCAGACTCTACCACCACTTTCCGGGCCCGGGGCCGCCGCTACCCCTCACGGGGCCTGTCAGGTGGGTCTGGGGGGGGTGGGGGCTCTGCATGGGGAGGCCTGGCTGGGGACAGGGCCTTGGATGGGGGCATGGGGCACTGGGCATCCAGTCCTGGTTCTGCTCCAACTTGCTGTGAAATTTGGGGCTAGTCATTTTCCCTGTGTGGGCCTCAGTGTCCCAATCTGTGGAATGGGGCAGGAGCAGGGAAGGGGGGGGGATTGGAGATCTCTAATAACCCTGGAGTTCTGGGAGTCTTAACCTGGGTTTCATATTCCTTGGAGAATCTAAAGGAAGCCGTGTACCCTCTTCCCCACAAAATGTGCATATATAAATTCCCCCAAATGTTTGCATATAATTTCAAGCGCTTTAAAGCCCGCAGGCCCCAGGTTAAGAACTTGTAATAGAAGACCTCAAGTGGATTAAATACAGCCCAGTGGCCTGGAAACCAGGCTGCCTGCCTCTGCAACCACAGGCAGTGTGGGTGCATCCTGGGCTCTGATAGTAGCTTTGCAGATGAGTGTGGTGGGATGCTGGGGGCTCACACACGCTGGAGTCACTGCAGGGGTTTGGCAAGGGCACTTAGGTGACTGTCCTTGACTGTCAGGACCGAGGGTGAGTGGTTTCCTGGAGCCCCTCCGCCTCCTGCCTGTGCCCTCCCAAGGCCAGCGCCAAGTTTTGTGCCCCATTATTGCCGAGCAGCTCTCTCGCCCAGTGAGGGTGCCAAGGCTGGATGGCGAGAGCCTGCGGGCTCCCTGAACCGCAGTTGATCTCCCAGATGATGGGGAGCTGAGTTCTTCTTTAATCGGGATTTAGGATTATTCATACGCCCCTCTCCCTCTCCCTGCAGTCTAGGGAGAGCTGACCATGTCTGAATTTCTTCCTTTCTTTCCTTCTTTCTTTTTCCTTCCTTGTCACTTATGTGATGCACAAACCAGAAAGTTTAAAAAGACACATGGAGAAAAGACCAATTCCCATCCTTGCCCACCATCTACTCAGTTTCCTCTTTCCCCAAGGGAACTATTGTTCTAGGTTTGTGTCTGCCCACTTCCTTTTTGTAACTGTCAACATAAAAAGTCATATCCCCTCTGTTTTTTGTTTTTTTTTTTTTGCATTAAAGTTTGCATATTCTACACAGGGTTCTGCATTGTGATTTTTTTCCCATTTATATTTTGGAAATCTTTTCATATCAATTCTTAGCTACTTATTTATTTTTATTTAGTTTTGTTTTTATAACTGCATAGTACCCTTTGCAAGGATGTGCTATAATTTACTCATCTGAAAAATCTATGAATGAAATTAGTGCTGTTGGAAATCTTTGGTTATTACCAACAATGGCCTTAATGAATAACCCTGTAGACGTTAATTTCGTACATGTACCGTATCACCTACAAGAGAAATTGCCCAAGTGGGATCCCGGGGTAAGGACTGGGCATTCCCGGTGTTGAGAGTTACCTCAGCCTGCTCCTCACAGGGTGGCACCAGCGAACACTGTCACCTTCCAGCCTTGTCAAGAGTATGTTGTCAAACTCCTGCTCTGTGTGAGAAATAAGGTCTCCGTGAGAGTTTAGAATTGCGCTCCTGTTCATGAGCGAGGTTCAGTGTTTGCCTGTGGAAGGACCATTGGCATTTCCACGTCTGTCTGTTCTTTCCTCTGTTCCTTTCTTTTCCTCACCCCCCATTTCTAGGAACTCTTTGATTAGGGAAGGGGATCCTTTTGTTTGTGATAGATATTTTTTTTTCTGTTTGCCACTTGGCTCCTGACCTTTGCGATGAAGTGTTCTGTCATGCAGGCATTCTTGATTTTTACGAGGTCACATTTTCTTTCATGTTTCCTGGCTCTGGAGACATAGTTAGAAAAGCCTTCCTGGCATTTCCCAGGAAAATGATAATTTGTCATTTTAGAGGAAACAGAAGATTTGTCCTTCAGGCCCACGTGGTGGAGCCGCGTGGCCTGTGGTGCAGCCGGGCTCCAGGCTGGCTCCCCGTAGTCCTCAGTAGGGGAGCAGCGCCCGCCACAGTGAGCCCAGTGAGCCCTCCAGGGGGACAGGGGCCATGCAGATGGAGCGGCGGGCCCAGCGCCTGGAGAGGTCTTGCCTCAGCCTCCCTCCTCAGCCTCAGCCCTGCGGCACCGGCACTGGCCGGCACACGGTCATCTGTCGTCTGGCTGTGCTGGGGGCCAGACACACTATTGCTGGAGAGAGTTCTGGGTGCAGGAGCGAGGCTCTGGCCAGGTGGCTTCTTGGAGCAGCATCCTAGCATTTATGTTCTGGTGAACTGGATTCTCTGCTCAGAAACAGAGGGGTGGGGGTGAACACATAGTTCTTGCTGTTATTTATAATCTCCTCTTGCCTTCTAAGGAAAACGAGTCCCAGAAACCAGAGGAGTTTTTCCCTTGAGCAGTTGTTTATTGGGGATGCAAGTGCAAAGGAAGAGGCTGGGCAGGGCTGCGGTGTGCTGTGTCATAAAGACGCCAGGCCTCTGAGGTCACTGAGAGGGGGACCCCAAAGTGTGGATTAGTGGGAGCGAAGCTGGTGGGGGGAGGTGCAGAAGAGCCCAGGGAAGCAGCAGGGGAAACACGGTGTTTAGAGAACAAACCCGCTGCCAGTGGCTGTAAGCCACGTGATGGGACCTCACCTCTGTCTTTCTGTGACAACTTTCCTAACATCACACTGATCACTGCTGTGTGTGTGTGTGAGTGATTCATTTAGGGCCAGTAAAAACATGAGCTCATTCCGGGGTTTGCAAGGGAGTGCTGAACTCTGCATCAAAGTGTGGGTGCAGGGCAAATACAGAACACAGTTCATTCGTAAAGAGTGATGAGGACAGTGGTGGATTCTGAATGCACTGCTATTAAGTGGACGGCAATGACAGAGTGAGAATTTCCCAGGCCGTTCAAGCCGGGCCGAAGGCCTGCTCTTCAGCTGCTGTGCTTTCACGTGGGTATAATCACAGGTTAATGCAATGGGACCTCCCTACATATTAATTCACAGATACCTGGTGTGTGCCTGTTACGTGTCACATGCGTCGAACTCCATCTGTGCTTTCTGTCAGTGTAGCTCCAATATGACAGGGTCCTATGTCGCCCAGTCTTTGTGTGCATTCAAGAACCACAGATCAGACACAAACACAATTAAAATCTTGGCTTGTTTGTGAGAAAATATAAAAAATGTGTAATTCATTACTCATAATTCTTCAAGTGCCTCTCTCATCTCACTCCCAGGATCTTCAGCCTCTCACTAGATCCCTGTCAAATCTCTCAGCAGCCAGCCAGTGCAGTGCTCTGTCCCCCATCCTCTGTCCCCCATCCTCTGTCCCCCCCTTTCCTCTGTCCTTAGCCCTTTATTTTTTGGTGGGGAATCTCAGCCACAGCCACAGCAAATTGGGGTACTCTGGTCTCTCTCTGGCCACCGTCCTGATTCTGCCTCACAAAACATGAAAGGAGTGAGCTGGCGAAGGCGCGTGTCCCCGGAGAAGGCCGGGGAAGGGACCACGCTGCCCAGGGGCACCACCAGAATTCTCCGTAGTGGGTTGTGGGATGAGGGATGGAGGACACTCCCGTTGCATTAGGATTCCTCCTTGTGGATGCTCGTGTTTACACCTGGCCGTCCTGGAGGGAAAATGTGCCTTTTCTCTCCCTCGGACACCCTCGCCTGTCCTCTGTTCTACTCCCACCTCCGTGGTTTGTTTCAAAGCAAGTGGTGACAGTTTTCTCTGGGGAAAATTAATAACAGCTTGTATATTATAATCTGCAAAGTGTCTTCAAGGACCTGGACTTAATTCATCCTCTCTGCAGGCGTGAGTGTGGGCACCACGCTTATTCTTTCTTCTTAAATTGATTTTTAGAGAGAGAGGAAGGGAGAGGGAGAGAGAGAAACATCGATGATCTGCTGCCTCCTGCACGCCCCCTACCAGGGATGGAGCCCCAAACCGGGGCATGTGCCCTGACCAGGAATCAATCTTTCGGTGCACAGAACGGTGCCCACCCTACTGAGCCCCCCAGCCAGGGCTGCTTACTCATTCTTAGGGTGCCTCCCTCCCAGCCCCCTCTCCCCTGCTCCTCACTCCCTCTCCCT